AGCTGCTTTCTGAAATTTGAACGAAGAAATGAAGGAACATCCAAACTGCTTTATAAAATTGTCTCTTTCTCATTACCCTAATCACATAAATATGCTGAAGGCTGCAATCAAGAGTATTTTTTCTCTCTTTTTTTTTTTTTAATTATTTTTTCCCCTTTAAATCAAGCTCAGAAAAAAAAAAAAAAAAAAAAGTTAATGAACATCGTACTGAAAGGATCACTCAAGTCATCCAGGTCCCATCCCTGCAACTCAGTAGTAGACATTAGAACAGAGGAGATTGCTCTGCTTCTGTTCCCTATGTCTTGTTGCATGCTACATTTCCCAGTGCCCTTTAAGCCATGTAGGTCTACATAGAAAACTGAGTGCCCTGTATAATGTGCTGTGGTATAGATCAAGAGGACAGATTTCAGTATCCTGAGATATATTTCATTTCTTAAATGAAGTAGTGTCACCTCTGAGAATTACATTTTTGAATGAAGTTCCTAATAAGGTAGAGGAAAAATCCCCAACATATTCACCTCTGAGAATTACATTTTTGAATGAAGTTCCTAATGAGGTAGAGGAAAAATCCCCAACATATTCAGTTACAGTACTACATGTTGCTTTCCCAGCTCAGTGTGGCTGTGATTTAAGCCCATTTTTCCCATTCACTCACTTAGATGTAGCAGTTCCCAATCTTTAGTACTTGAGAGAAGGAAAGCATGGAAGGATTAAGTGATGTATCCAAGATCATACATACAGAGGCATCTGTGGCAGTCAGCAGTTAGATCAGCGCATCCTAAATGTCAGCACGCAGTGTGTAATTTAAAGGACTGGCCCACTTCCTTTGCTTTGTAGTATTTTAAATGAGAAAATAGCCTTTAGATAGTATTCCTAATATGATCCTTGCTAAGTTTTTAGACTTGGCTTTACTAAAGTACTGGAAATTGGTAATACTTAGCCTATATTTAAACAGAATTCCTGGTCCAGTACTTAATCTCAAGCTGTCTTTTCTCATTACTATTGCCATGAGTTTTCTCTGAAGGAGTATTCTTACTGCTGTCAAAGCTTAACAAGTGAGGCATGGTTTCACAGGTGAAGGCTTGGGGCTTTGTTTGATTTCTGGCACAACAAACATTTATCTGATCAACATGGAGCAATGGCAAAGCGATGCTAACCAGATCCCGGAATAGGAGCATAGATTTTGCAAATGGAATGGAATGAAATACAGTGAAATGGAATGAAAAGCACTGTTCTGGGTGTGGGTTGCTCTGAGTGCAGAAGAACTGGAGGTCCTGTGGCATTCTCTTGGTTTAAGTGCCAAGGACAAGAATTGCACAGTTGTGGAAATGCCCCACGCTCCACTTACGACAAGATCCTTTAATAGCAGTAGTTTGATCCTGTGAGGTCTTGAGCATTATCAGCCCTCCACATTTTCGTTATCAGTCGACAAGAATAAAAATTGACTCCTAGTGCAAGGAGACAAGAACAGAAAATTCTCAAAAAATAAATTAAAAATTGACAGCTATAAGCCTTTTGTTTTGGAGGAATGTCTCTGTTCAAAACATTACTTTTCACAACTGGGCATCTCTGCTTTGTATATAGCATCCCCACTTAGCATAGCAGATAAAAGTCACGTCTGTGGCTCCATTTGTCTAACAAGTCTTCCTGCAGGCTCTCTAGTACTTACCCTGGGGGGAGTTTGTAGACCTTATCTAAGAGGAGAAATTACTTTGTTGTGGCTCTGACATGTTCTTTAAACAATATTCAGAAACCATCTGAAAGAGAGTGACAGTATATAAGGAGGATCCTTTTTGTGAGTCTCAGTGGAGAAAGCAAGAGTGAGAAATTTCTGTGTGCTGTTTTCTGGCTTTAGTCTGCATCCTAGCCCTTGGTTAGGAAGCTGTTTAAGTCATTGGACATGGTAGTTAATATTGAAACGAACAAAAGAAGTTTAAAGACTTCCTGCTGCTGTTCAGTGTTCTCATTCACCTGCTCCCCTCATCATTTAGATGATGCCTCAGACTGGTGTATTTAACTGATGTCCTGCTTACGTTGGTGCAAGATCATGTAATGCATTTTTCATTTGACAGAGTAATTCAATCCTTATTCTTCATAGGATCTATTGAAAAATGCTTCCATTGCTCGTGCTCTAAGATCTGCCCTGTTTTCTCCAGCCCTGACTTGTGAGCTGGGAGGATATGTAGATTGCCTTCAGATTGTATGGCAGAATGCTAATCCACTGGCAGATGAGACTCCTTTAGATTTGTACCCAGAGCACTCTTAGGAGCTGGGTTTGAACCCTGAACCGCTCTCACTTACTGCAGCAGTTACCCTCTTGCATTAGTTGAAATGGAAAATTGAATAGAATTTTCTCTCTGATTGCAGAAAAACTTATTTTTATAATACTGACCATCACAAGATCTGTAAGAAGAGAGTGACAGCCTCTGCTTAGCCACCCAGACACCAGCAGAAGCCGGTCCTGCTGCCTTGTGCTGTCCTAGCAGTGCTGGAAAAACTGGGGCAGAAACCAGGGGCTGGTTCCTCCTTCTCACCTACAAGGAGTCAGGCTTGAGGCCGCTCAAACATTTCATTCCCAGGGCTTGGCTGTAAAATTTTAGTTCATTTTTAAAGGAAAATACACTACAATTTTGCTTGAAAAATTCTCCTCTGTTTGAAAATAATGGCTATGTTTACAACAGCAGCAGCAGCAGCAGCCAAATTTTCAGGAAGGAAACCTTGTTGTTTGGGGGCTGGGAAGATTGCTTCTAGTAATGTAAAATCTCAGCTTGGCATTGGCAAGGAAATGGCATGCTGCTACTGGAACAGGGCAAAGAAATGGGCTCTTCAGGGCTGACATCCCTTTAGCTTCCCTGCATTCTGGAGGATCCCCAAGGCCCCATGGAAACCAGATGCATTCCTGCTGCAACAATTACTGTAACCAACCCTTGCTGGAAGAGAACATTTAGGGGGGAAAACGTTACAGTATTTTCTTTTGGAAAATTCCACTATTGACATGAAAAGCAGCAGGGTAACAGCAAAGATGGATTGCAAATTTTGACAGCGCCGACAGGTAAATATTGGCTTTGTGCAAACAAGTTTCTATAAATAACCTGTCTGCTCCAGAAACTCCACAGATGGCAGCGGGGCTGCTGGGGTATTGATTTACCCACTGTGCTCAGTGCAGAAAAGCACAGCTGTCAGCTTTGCTGTTCTCGTTCAGAGTGCTGCTCCAGCTCCTGCTGAGAGCTGCGTGCCTTGTTCACCATTTTTCTTTGGCAAGTGGTGATGAAGATTAAGAGCCCAGAAGAAATAATTTGAAAGAAAAACCTACCGGAGCAACTATGAACAAATGAACGAGGGTAGAGAGTAACTCTAGAAAAAACTATGTGTGTATCCACACTTGCAAAAGCAAGAACTCTCTCTCTTGCTCAGTCTATGTCAGGTAATTTCATACAGCTTACAGGAGCGGTCTGCAGAAATTCAGGAGAGTACAGTGGACTTGAAGGGAGGGTGAGGGCAGCTTGCAAAGGAGCAATAAAGAGCTTATGCATTGAGGAGAAAGAGCCAAAATTGAGGTGTACAACCTAATCTTTCAGCGGGCCTTACATGCAAACAGAGGTTCTGCCAAAAATTCCTAACAACTGTCCGATAGGCAAATACAAATAAAACAGCCACCATCTGCTTTTTGGCTCGAGTGACCCTTCAGAGGGCAGCCTAAATCTCAGGATTATGATTTTCGGACGTCAGTCGATGAGCACTATCACTGTCTCATTAGGAAAAAAGGTTCATTTACAGTCATAGTGTTGGGATTTGCATTTTGAAAGAATGCCTCAGATATCATAATTCGCTTCCCTCAAAATGGTTGCCTGTGGTGCAGGTTCACTCTAAAGGCTTGTCAGTTAGCAGAACTATGCATCTCCTACAGTAGACACAGCATGTGCCTTTTGGGGGCACTTTCTGCTGTTTTTCTGTGTAATCTCTGTGTAATTGCACAGTCAGCCAAGATAATGAAGTTCTTCTGTCATTGTAGCTAGATCTGCATCAAGGATTTTTGCCCAGAACAACTGGATGCAGCTTTCTGTTGTTAAATGTTGTGTGGTAGCTTTGGGCACTTTTCTTTGATCTCATCTTTTAACAAATAGCTGGCATGGCTAACATGGCACTGACCAAGAAGTAAAGATCTGACCCAGTTGAAATAAACAGTTAAATCTTTTTTCAATTCATTTGTTCAGTTTGTGAACTCAAGTTTAGATGGGGCTGACTGTCATCCCTCCTGAAAGTGCTGAGGCTGTGAGAGTCTGTGGGGCCATGCAAATATCTTGGGATTGTTGGGGATAATTATCATTACTTTGTATAATAAATATTTTCAATATTCAGTATATTTCAATATAGTTTAAATAGGTAAACCATAAGTAACGGCACAAAGTATTGTCAAGAGACTTTCTTAGTTGCAGAATGTTAATAGATTGAAGGAGCTAAATGCTAAGCACTGCTGGAGAGAGAGAATTTCTATTGCCTTAGTTTATTTTTAGGCATTTTAAATGTTAAGGAAGCTGGTATATATCTTGTAGGAGAACTTACGTTGTTGCATACAAAGCTGTTCTTTTCACATACTGAAATTCTGCCTTGCTAAAATGAGCGGAAAGCATCTTGACTCCTGAGCTGTAGGTCAGTAAATTCACAAACACAAGGACAAGTCAAGAAGCTAGGACATACTATTGCCCATCCTGTTTGCAGCTGAACCCCACAACTCACTAAATCCCTGCTACCATCCCTGTTTGCTTCTCCAGAGCATGCTGAGCATAGAGCTGCTTCATCTTTCATGCCTCGATGCATTGATGAGGTGTGCAGAGTACAAAAGGAACTGAGTGTGGTGTGCTAAATATTTTAAGGCCAGATAGACTACACTGCAGTTAGAGAGACTTCAAGCATTTTGTTAGATTTTCCTGCATATATAATGTATAAATATAGATTTCTACATCGTATGTATTTATAAAGATGTATGCAATGTAGAAATACATTGTTTGAAATACTTATGTCTCAAGATTTTCCTGAAATCAGAGTCCACTCTGTTTTGGAATCTCCTTTCTCATGTCACAGATGCAGCAGAGGAATAAAATACCAATTCGTGTCTCTCAGAGGAGAGCAGAAAGGCATCCTGTAGGACTATAATGCAGTGTGATGTGGGCTGTCACTGCTGTGTCCTGCTGAGAGGCTTGCTGACCTGTGAGCTATTGCGTCCTCTCTCTCTCATTCCAAGCATAGTTCGTGACATTCTCATCGTCGTGTAATTGCAGTCTTTTCTTAAACCTGACCTGTAGAAAGAGAGGGAAGAGTTACGTTTGGAGAAAGCAGCACCAAAGTATTCCCAGACGACATTCAGCTTCAGCTGAACTGTAATAACTCCATGGCTGGTGATGTGGACTGTTTACATGGACTGGGCACGTGCCTGTCTAGGGATATTCAAGGATAATTACAGACTTTTCCAAGGCCTATTTTTATTTTTTAGAGGAGATGTCTGGGTTTTCGAGTAGATGCTACTCAACAATACGGAGCCATCAGCATTGGATGCAGCTTATCGTAAGAGCTGTGTCAGATCATTTGGGATTTCAACAGCAAGGTGATAAAGCCTCTGAAATGTTAGACGAGCAGTAAATAAACTTTAGAGGTAGAAAGTGATCCCCTACTCTGAATGTATTCACCTAAGGAATCTTAAAAGCCTACCTAGGATATATGTGCCTACTCTAGTTCACAACAGTTATTGCCGTTCAAATAAATGCCATTGTTTTTTCTGCAGTGTGTTCCTTTGGCAAGTAATGAAACTGCTCCTGATTTACGATTGTGAGATAAAGAAAAAGAGGGAAAAGTGACTAGTTTTCAGTGTGATTAACTTTAAGTGAAAAGCTGCACAACTAAAAGGAATTTCTGCATTGCCATCTGAACAAATACAGACGTTATCCATTGATGGCAAAAGTAAGCATATTGCATGAAGGGACATTTAAACTGTAGTGTGTGCTGAGACTGCCTGTACACTGCACAGTAGTGTACATTAATATACATTAGTGAGAGACCTGTACATCCTCCATAGTGTTTTCCTGGGACAATGATTTTTTATCTCTCTGTCAAAGTCTGTCATGCATTACAGCAAGTGAATGTTCTCCTAGTTTAATCACTAATCTGCCTGTGTGTCAGTAAATATGTTGCTATGGGCGCTACAATAGCAGAACTGAAAGATGAGCTTTTGCCTGGTTGGAGCTTAAAAAACACCTGTTTGTATTTTTGATACTAACTCGTTCATCACGAATGAGGATAAAGAAGCATATGTTTCTTTAGAATTTAGTTATAGAAACATTTTTCACGTGCATTTTCCAATATATGAATAATATTTACTGTATGTTCGTTACTTGTAGTGTCTGGACAAAGCTTTTATGGGGCTTCACGTTTCTACACCAGATTGTTTTCCAGTAGTGCAGACTTCTACATATGATCGACAAGCAGAAATCACATCCCTTTGCTTCACTCCAAGACGAACAATACCCATCCTGCTTATTGCTGAGTCCCATTATTTAACATTCAGCTTCTTCCCTGAACTATATACTATGCTTCCAGAATAGTGCATAATGAATTACTTAGCTGTGCAGATTTTAATCCCAGACTGACTCATCCCTTAGTTGTTCGTGGCCGTGGGTTTGTTTGTTTGATTTACTTTTCTTTTTTAAGGAAAGAAGATTAAACTGTATTAAACTGGTTTGTTTTGTTAGCATGTGTGGCGATGAGTCTGTGACCTACATTTATGGTGGGTAGTACTCTTGCCCTATATCTGAATAACAAACGACAGAAACATTAGTATGGGTTGACCTCTTTTTGGAATATTTTTGGGGCATTTTATATCAAAGGAAAATACCGAGATAACAATCTTCAATTAAATTCTAATAAAATCCAGAGGAAAAGTAACTAGAGTTATTTCTATTACATAGTGTGTAATAGAATGCTTGAATTGGATGGGGCCTTAAAGATCATTTACTTAATGCATATACCAAATTACTAGGAAATGATTAAAGAGCAAATCTGGAGTCAAAAGAATTGAAGATTTTTTTCTTTCTTTCTTTCTTTTTTTTTACATGGCAGATGCTCAGGGACAAAATGACACAGGTAGAAGTTGCATCCTGCAGTCTGTATCTGTTTTGAAAGGTGCTTTTATCAAATCTGAGCAGTGTTAACAAGTAAGCCTTATAAGCTGGCTTTCTCTAGATGCTCCAGAAAGTCAGTCTAAGTCTGTATGCACGAGTCTTTGGCCTGTTAGTGCTCTGAAGGCCTTAACCTCCAAGAAGTGCACATGAAAACATAGGCATTGCCCTTTCTTTCCCTGATGGCAATGCTGCATTGTTGTGCTGAGGGAAGAGCATGTTTGTAGCCTCTGTTAACACTAATGGGCTTCTCTGTTCAATAGGAGCATCTAACCTCGGACATAGTTTACATCATCAATATTGCTGTCAAAATTGCATATTTTCCCCTTGAAAATTACTGACATGGTAAGCAGTTTTTTGAGGAACTATTCTAAGCTGAAACAAATGAATTACTTCTGATTCTTTGAAAGTAATTTGTTACCCAGTAGGTCTTCGGCACTATAAGAAAAGAATGCAAGAAAAAGGAAAAAAAAAAATTGAAGATTTTTAGTATTCAAACCAATGTGATAGTCTATTATTTGCAATCTAGTGTCAGTAGTGACTCACAATTGAAAAAATGTAACAAGAGGGAGTTCCTCTGGAGGAGTAAATAGCAATTTACCAAGTCTCCATGTCCTTTGGCAGTCCATTTTCGAACTGCTGTCCAAACCAAGGTCTGAGGTTTTATTATTTCTAGAAATACATACTGGCTACAACCTGCTCTGAATTGGAACATATATCAGTGGTATAAATAATGTTCACACTTCTGGGAAACTGAACTAAAAGGTCACTTTTTCAACAAATTTACAAACTGCCAGAAACACACCAGCCTTGTCATTGAATTTTTAGCAGCTTTCTTTTTCCATGTGGAGTCCAGAGGGCAATGTCCCATAGCATAAAGGCAGCACCTGAAGGATGCAGCAGCTGTTCCGTGTAGATCAACTTGCATTTGTTTATTTCAGTTCACATTTGTTGGAATTCATGTGTCATGGGTTTGCTACATATATTCAGCAGCTCTACTTATTTTTCATCCTGGATCCTGCGTATTGTATTTGAAGGCTTTCAGCGAGGATTTTATTCTGCTGGAGAAACACAGCTTGGAGGACCTCAGTTAAAGACTGAAAACAATCGGAAAGGCGGTGGGAAATAAATATTGGGAGGGCAATATGGGGCCTGGGGAATGGTTATTTAATAGAAATGTAGCTGAGAGGTGACTGATAAGATTTTTAGCATAACTGGAAAAAAATCCAAGTTATCAATCAGATGTCAGAAAACCTTTTTCCCTTTGCTCACAGAAAAACGTGCAGCTTGAATTTTTTCTTTCACTTTAAGTATAGCATTTCCAAATCTTTTTGGACAGTAAATTATATAGCCATGCATAAGTCACAAAGACTTTTTCCTTGTGCTACAGTATACGGAGATTATCAGATAGTCGAACATTTCTTTCAGCTTTTCTTTTTCCTTTTGTTTTTGTACACCCTTTGTCAAGGCACTGAGGTGCTAATACAAGAATTTCTAGGACATCCTTAAAAACCTGCTGATTTCAACAACCCCTGCAGGATAGGTGGCTGTGATAAGTGTTCTCTAGCTGCACATTATCTCTTGATCGTACTCTTTCTGAGGCATAGGGAGAAGTCTTTCAGATTCCTTTGTCCTAGCTTCCAGAGAGCTTTAACAACCAGGTCCAGAGAGCTTTAGCATCCAGGACCAGGACTTCACAGAGGTGAAGGTTTAAATTAAAGTGTGAGCTAATTCAGTTGATTCTCATCTACAAGTGCCCTTGAGAAGCCAGGTGAATGGTGCCCAGCTTTGTCCTACATTTATTCCTGCTGCAGCCAGTAGACCTCCTGTATGTGGGCTGTAGAGATGGTCTTTCAATGCAACCTTTTGGAAAAATAATAGGAAATGGTAAAAACACTATTCCTTGTTATTTTTCTAAATTGAATTTCGCATGGTTGGGATCTCAGTGCAAAGGTATGTGGGATTTTCATAAGGATATGCTGATATTTATGGGAACCACTTGAAGGCTAAGGGAGACCTGGATGGAAGTAACCTTTCATAATGTTTCTGAAGGAAAAAATACGCATTTGTATTTTTATTCAAAGCTTAAATAACAAATTCATGGCTAAAGCCAACAGGCAGGTTACATTCTTTGACTTCAAATAATAATTCCAGTACTGTTTCCAGGTTCTGCTTCACCCATTTAAATTACTTTTGCCCAGAACAGTGAGAGTGCTATAATGGAAACTGGTTTATAATAGAAACTGTTATATTTGTTTATTTTGAATGCGCCTCACAATGTGGTTCCTCATGTTTTTCTATGAATTGATGTACTTCCAATTTATCAGGGCATATGATTTTTGTGAAGGATGAGCAAGTAAGGTGGTTAGGGTTTTCGTGGCACGAGTTTTAAATATTCTCTCATCTTACACATACCAACATGCATACTTTGCTTTCTCCCTCCTTAGAAAATCACTGTAAAAGCATTTCATGATTGCAGTTTTAATAACAGTTGATTTTAGGATATTTTTAATAACATCTGGATAGAAGCCTGATTTTTCAGTTGTAGTTTTTACATAAATGCTTACTAGAAATTGTGTCCTGAAGTGGATAATCACAAGTACTGTGAGCTGACTGAATATTTGTACAAACATACTATTAAAGATTGGTCATCCTGGTTTGAAGAACAGTTATGAAAAATGAAATGCTAAAGCGGCAATAGAAATTCAGCAGATGGAAACCTGTCAGCTGCTAAAAGCTAAAAATGTAAACTTGTAGTGTAGGTTGTAATACTAAAGGAAACTTCAACATTGACAGGATTTCTACACCTATCCAAAGGTATGTTTATAAAAGTGGACTCAGGCATTTAAATGAAAATGGTTTGGGGAAGCTAAGGCGTCCTAGAGGAGGCTGAGTGTTCTTCATTGGTGGTAAATTCAGCCATGGTTTTATATTTTAAAGTGAGCTGGGGAATGGGGTCATTGGCACTTGACATCTGTTCCCTTTTTTCTATGCTGTGAATTTTCATAACTTTCATGCCTGGGAAGAAACAGATGAACGTGGAATTAATTACTTAACAAAAGCTCGTTACAACCAATGAAAACTGGGTTGGGATGAAGCCTGTAACACACCTGTGCCAAATTAATTATTTAGTTGGTATGTTTTCTTGCTCATTCAGTTAAATGGTTCCACTCTCTAGTCTGAAACCTGCTCACTGTGTGTCCTTTTCAGGAGCATGGCACCAACCATTCAGTCTACAGGTAAACAAGGGAGGGGAAATTTCAATCACCAGGGGGCAAGGATTTGTTTGAAATAACGTATCCCAGGGTAAGACTACTCTTGGGATACGATCCAAAGATTGTTTTGAAAACATTTGTATTTTTTCAGTGGATACTTCATGTACAGAATCGTTTTATTTTATAAAGTCTTTTTGCAGTTGCTTTTTAGTGAGTGCTTATGTACAGTGTTTTTATAAAATGAGGAAATTTATATAGTATGCCAGCATACTCTGCTTTGATTCTGAGTTTTCAAGGTTTGGTAGTGTTCTATGAAAGCTGCTTCTATTGCAGAGGATGTGTCTCTTTCCAATGCCCCTAACTTAGCATCTCAGGAGCAGGAGGTGGGAAGTGGAGCACTCTTTGTAATCATTGTGGGAGCTAACCAGGTGCCTGGATTTTGGTGTCTGGTGTCATTTGTGTCCATCTCTGTAGAAAATCCACAACATTTGCTCAAACTTGGTAGACGTAAGGTAGAATTTTATCCATCCTCCCGTGGTGGCAGCTGGCAGTCACAAGCAGTGAGTCCTATAAAAACTTTGAAACCTAATTCCTTTTAACTGGATCTCCTGCTAGTGATTTTCAGGGAAACAAAACAAAAAGATGAATGATTTATTTTGTGTGCTTTCTCTGTAGAGATTTGTACTCTTGGAAACAAGAATATTTGTTTATGCTTAAGTATCCTAAGCTCCAGACTCACCTGACATTATCATGTTATCACCAACAGCATCTGTGATTAATCTGGAAGACAAATATAGGTTTATTCAATAATTAACTTGAGATATCAGAGGCTGTTGTCTCCCACAGTAATTCATAGTGTGAATTGGTGCTGTCATATTCTTGAGGAAAAATAGATAACAGAAATTAGATTAACGGCCTACATATCCTAAAGGTTAACCATGCAGGATCTGTCACTTCCAGGCTGTGGAGAGTTAGCAGACCACATCTAAGATTAGAAGAAAGCTTTCTTATAATGACTGAGAACATGAGAAACTTATCCAACAAGAGTTGGCATAGAAGATTAGTAGCAGACTACACAGACTCCCTGACACACGGCTTGCTCTTTATGGTGACTTTATGAGGTGAGAAGTCAATTTGAATTAATGCTTCCCTGTGCTATATTTATGAGTATGTCGTGATGATTACTGCCTGAGTCATTCTTGCAGAAACATACTTCTCTGGGTTCTAGATCATCTGTTCTTAGTGGTTTGCTTATGCCCTTTAACAAAGCAAGACTCTTTCTGTTCTCTGTAGTACATGGTAGCTTTTCTCTAAATCTCCAAACTGACAGATTAATTTTGGGGGTGGTTGTTTCATCTTGTTGAGTAGCAGGAAGGAACACCTGGAAAATGGGATGCAGTCATTTTCCATAGTTTAGTGAGGATTACTGGAAGCAATTGTATCAAACTCTAAATGCTTCTGGGAGGTCGCTGAAGCGCAAGCACCATCTACCACTTCTTTCCAGACCACAGTGATAACGTGGCATGGGTTTTAATGCAGTAATGAAACCATTCTTACAAAGTGGAAAGTTGCTCTTTCAGATAAATAATTATTAAATAATTATACTAAGAGAGGAGATTACTTTAAAAAAAAAAAAATTTACAAAGACTTCAAATAGCAAGAAGTCACTAACCATAGTACTGATCCAGGAATTCCACCTGAAACGTGACTGTTGGAAAACGTGCCAGTTTTGATAAGAGATGTGTATGTGTTGGGTTAACCCTTCTTACTGCTTCAGAAATTGAGATCCTCTGTATAACCACAGTTACAGTGATGTATTAGATAAGGTTTGCATATTTTTCAGTGGCATGCAGCAATAGAACAAGAGGCATTGGGCAGAAACTGGAACACAGGAAGTTCCATACTAACACAAGGAAGAAGTTCTTTACTGTCAGGGTGATGGAGCACTGGAACAGCCTGCCCAGAGAGTTTGTGGAGTCTCTTCTCTAGAGATACTCAAGGTCTGTCTGGACATCTGCCTGTGCAACCTACTGTAGGGAACCTGCTTTAGCAGGGAGGTTGGACTTGATGATCTCTAGAGATCCCTTCCACCCCTATAGTTCTGTGATTGATATCAAAGAAATACAATAACAATGAAAAACGCACTCCTAGGCCATACATTCTGTTTGTCAACTATTTCCTTGCACTTTTCCTGCAGTCTAATGTAGTGGTTATGAAACTTTTGGATTGTAGAATTGTACTGTGATGTACCACAGTTATTTGGTCTTAGCTAAACGTGTCCCCATTAAGTTGAATTTATGCTAATTCTGTCCCAGTTAAACAGCAGATGATGTTAGTAGCTGCACTATTAAATTGCTTTCCTAGAGACATCCCATTAAATAAGCTATGCACCCAAAGTGGAATATAATGAAATACATTTTTAAATAAGCTTAATATGTTTAACATCTTTATGTAATTATGTTCATTATGGATGACAAAAGACTTCTTGGGTCACGTTGTCCAGTTGATGAGCATGGAACTTACCATGTGCCTTGTGTAGTTAGTTTTTAAATACCCTAGGCTGTTTCTTCTACTTGTCTTGGAAGGTGATTCCACAGCCTGATGTTATTTTTCTAATATTTAACCAAAAAGTCACTTCCTCCCAGTGATTCTCTTCACAGATTGCTTATATGCCAAGAGCATTTGGGCACCAATCCATTTAGACTTCTTCAATTATTTGAATAATCAGAGAAAAATCAGAGAGGCTGTGTGGATTTGACCACAGAATTTGCCATTTTGATCAGTTCAGATTTTAGTTATGTGTTCCAGGTTGTATATTCCTCCTGTTCTTGAACAGCTCATTATGCCAGCTGGATCCAAAAGGAGCATTGTCTTCTACTCATTTTGGTTATTGACAGCACCTGCTGGGATGAGGAAAATGAAGTGGAAGTTCTACCAAATGAAGGCTGCCCTCCTGTATGATGTATTAAGTCTGTGTTAAGTGATGCTATAGTAAATCAGCATCTCAGGTAACCTTTATGCCAGTAATACTCCATTTCTCAATAGACTGATACTGGTTGTAGTTCATGCAGTAATGCAATGTGATGAATTGCAGTGATGATAATTTCAGGGACAAAAGCATAGAGTCAAAATTCTGTCGATCTGGTTTTGTAAGCTGGTTTCTTACAGCTTATGTGTTGATATGGTTGAGCACATGCCATGCAGTTGTGGGAAACTGCAAAACCAGTATATGGGGCTCAGAGTCCAAACAACTACAGAGGAAACTCAAATTGGCAAGTAAAGAGTGTTTGCTAGACTACTTCATATGCCAAGAGAGATGGGCAGTATGAGGAACAGTGGATTCTGTAATATTCTGCATGTTGAAGGAAGGGCATAATAGTTAAGAGGCCATGTCTCAGGACTTTGCCTCAGGGACATTTCAGTGCAACTCACGTGGAGATACTGTACAGCCTTGTGAATTCTGCTTCCTCATGTATGTATTATACTTTTTTACCTTCATATAAACTACGTCTGTTTCCAGCATGGATAGTAAGTAGCTTGCTTACATGGTGATCAAAGTATCTGGCAACATACCATTACAGAAATAGCAGAAGAATTGGGACAATTTTCTTATTCTCATGTACTCTGTCTAGGTGGCATAAACAAGATGGTGGGATGGTGAGGGATATTGTGTGCCCATCTTACTGGGAAGCTTGTGAAATAAACCTTGAGCTGTTAATCTCAATACACAGCTGAAAATGCCAAGGGGTTGCTTACTCAGCAGCTCAGCATGGCACTTTTTGGGGGGGCTCTGTCAGCTCCTGAAGTAGTTTTAGAAACCTCAAATGAGGAAAAAATGATAATGTTGCAGATAGTTTGATATCTACGGAGTGAAAATCAGTTGGCAGATGTAATAATAGGGGAAGTAAAAAAAAAAAAAAAAAAAAAAAAAAAGGCCAGAGTACATCCGGCAATGGGGGGATGTAGAGATAGCATATTGTAATGTGGCAGATTGAAATGTATGCAACTATTTTGTCTCTGGGCATTTAAGCATTTGACAAATCACGGCTGGGAATTGGCAAGAATCTTTGTTGTTTTGTTATCTTGTTAGTTGTCAAGGAAAGAAGTCAGAATTTGTTCAAGTTCTACCTATGCAGAGCAATGAAATTCAAGCACATTAATATGCCATCAAGCTCAAGACCTACGTTCTTCCAAATGCAATTTGAAATGTCCTCTGCCAGTCTTGTTATTATCAGGCTTTGGCTTGGCTTATGTGACTGCTTAATATGTTTACAGATGTGTGGAGAAAAATTGCAGCTAGTTCCATTTTGGATGCTGAACTTCATTGAAAATCCTCCAAAACCCCAGCAACTACCTAACCTGAGAAAACACATCAAGCCACTTTTGTAGCAAAGAACAGGGAGAAGGATGTTGCAGGGCAGGTTGGGAGCAGACGTAAGGAGCATGTGAGAGCCTGCATTACTCTATCTCAGCACCTTACATCCATGCAGGTTGATCCAAGTGTTGGCAAAGAGGGATTTGCGTGGGAAGAAAGGCTGCCTGAGGCAGCATCTGCATCTTGAATATGTTCCCACAGTAATACCACGCTTTCAGCATGAATGCACTCCCACCTATGGCTGAGACTAAAAAGCATCTAAATTGGGCCCTTCATATTATATATGCCATGTGTTTAGGTATACATTAATTCCTTTCTGTTAGTTAGTTCTGTAATTTTGACTGTAGACAAATACCTTCATCTGAATATATTTCCTGCACCCAAAATAAAAAATAATGGGTTTCAGTAGTTAATGGTACAGCTTGGCATTAATTGCATTTTTTGAAAATCTCTGCCCAATGATACCTGTTAAAATTATTTCAGATTAGTTATACTATTGCACATATGGTAAGGATAGCAATGTTATAAATAAGGAAGTTTGCAATTCTGTAGCCACAAAACGCTGCTCACAGAAGACTGAGCTCTTGTAGGCAGTTTTTTTGACTAGGGAGGAGGGAATTCTTTGGGAATTGCCTTGTACAATTTAGAA